AAGTTTCTAGGTTCCATACAAGACAAACCTCAACAACAAGACGTAGAAACAATGTTATCAATCAATCCCTAATTTGATAACTAAGTCATGGAAGCATCATCAACACACACTTTCACAATCCAAACCCTAACAAGACTGGCCTACAATAGACATGAAAATCATAAAAGCATTCATAGATCTAACCCTAGCAAAACAAGTAGAAATAGAAAAGAGTAGAAATTATACCCAAAAGTATATTAGCAAAATGAAATCAAGTCTTGCAAGATCTCTTGAAATGGTTTTTGTCAAGCTCTTCCTTCAATCAATCTCTCAAGAACTAAGCTTGGATCTATCAAATCTTCTCTACAAAAGTGTTTCTCTCTAAATCTAAATGCTAAGCTATATATTTCTCTTTCTAAAATTGTGTCTCCCCTCTTACAAATCTGATCTAAAACACTTTAAATAGCCTCCCCTTTCATTTCCTTTCCTACCTAAAGATGGGTTCCTATATAATTGTTTATATATATATATATATATATATATATATATATATATATATATATATATATATATATATATATATATATATATATATATAGATATCCACAACAAAGTAAAAGTACTCATACAAATATTATAAAGAGCAATGGAAAACTTGACTAGTTACTCAAACTAGCAAATGAGTACTAAAAACTATAGATTCAAGCAATCCCAGGCCACCAGTATGTTTTAGTACGTATGATGCATTGAAAGTGTCATGCATCCTCCCAGCATGGTGAAGTGAAAAATCAGTGGTTGGAAGACACTCCAAAGACAAGAAAAGAATAACTTAATCAGATGGATTTCCATTCTCTTCAATTTGTTGCTTCTTTCTACGCTACAAATTCCATTTCTTCTTCATATATTTTGTCTTCATGATTGTGGCTGGAATTCCGAAATTGTATCATAGCTTTAAACAAGCTAAGAAGGATCGATTCACTATCATGGCATGGCAAAGCAATACCTCCATTCCCGACCGCATTAGGACTTCAGTTCCTCATACTATGGCAAATTTTACAGTGTATCATGGTTTATGTAGCTATGTGTGTAACACCCCCGATTTTCAGCATAATTTAAAACCATTAAAGCTTATGAAATAAAGGCAAGACTATCATTAAAACCCAAACAGAGCAGAAGTTAATCATCAGTATTGGGGTGCTATGCCACATCTAAGCTAGAGAACCTAGATGCACATGCTAAACTAACTAAACAAAGCACAAGTCATAGTCATTATCCGAATACAAGTGTGGCTCACAGGCCGACTAGCTAAGCAAATACTAACTACGCCAGGAACCGCAGATCTTTTTAGCACGCTCTCGATCACTAATCAGTACCTGAAAAACATGTGGTATTATAAACGTTAGCGAGTAATGCTAAGCAACCCACTCCCACACGTTGAGTACAATACATATAGATATAGGAAATCATTTTGAGACTTGGGAATACATAATATAGTCCTACACGACTCTAGCTTCAAAACCGGGAATCAGACTCAAGGCACATCAATAGACTCGACACGAAAAGACACATAAAGGCACTAGCATGCAACTAAGACCCCAAAGCAAGACAACAATAAAATTTAACAATAGCAAGCAAGAGCACATAACAAGACATGTCCATGTTCCAACGTTATACCAAGTTCCAACCTTTACGCCTATTCAACCTTATAACAGTTTCAACCTGTACCTCCAGGCCACCCTACACACCACATCCTTATCCCTCTGGGGCAACGCATGCCCCCCACCTACAAGACCTCCTACATAACCACCGATCTCATAGCATCCGCGATGCCTTTAAATCACACACCGGTACCGCAGTACCACCACATACAAGCACGCGCAGTGCATCAACCACCAATCAATCTCATATCTTTTCTTTTTCATCATGGATAACAACACACAAACAAGACTCAACAATGACTCCACAAGGGGATAATCGGGAAAGGGCGTATCATGCACATCGACTCTCTACAACAAGCGCTCTCAAGGCGACCATAAGACACATAAAGACCACTATAGACCATACTCTGGCACCACACATTACAAGTATGGACCACATGCAAAGACACGACTCACAATTCACATTACACTATACAAGACATCACATTAGACCCAAAAATATCAACGAAGACACCACGGGGTACGGGGTTTGACCCACGGAGACCGAACGACCCCGTACCGGCCCATACCCGCGGGGGGATGGGGGCGGGTGTACGGCGGGAGGACAACCTCCCGTCGGCGGAACCACGCCGTTCCAGCGGATGGACCGGTGGGTGGCCGTCCACCCGCCCGTCCTCCCGCTGGAACAATTCCTGTGACACCCCGTAAATCCAAACCCTAATCAAGGATTAATTAGAAAATTAATCCTAGTCTCCTTGTTAATTGATTCCTAAAAATTCTAAAAATTCAATTGTCGAAGGACTAGAATTTGACTAGTCATTCAAGGTCAAAGGGTTGTACCTTATACTTCTTGGGTTGTGCCCTTGTTTCCTTATTCTCCCAACTTTAGTAAGGGTAGAAATGTCTTTCTACCTAAGGTTTGTGGTCCAAGCTAACCTAGCAACATCCCTTCATTTCATTCACCTACAATCAAAACACAAAATCTCTAACTTCTCTCTAGAAAGGTGTAGCTTCTTCTCCAAGCTAGAATTGGGACATCCTAAATCTTGCAAGTTGTCTTCCAAGATTCCTACTTTCCTCATCTTAAGCATAGGGGAGGGTAAAATCCTTGCTCTTTTGGTGTTTTTAACTTCCTTCTAGATGTCTTTTTCTAAAAATAGAATCTTTGTTGTCTTTTGGTTTGTTTATGAAGTTGGTGTGGAAGAAGAGCTTTAGGAGACGCTTTCTAAGGGTGAGAAAGAGAAGTTTTAGGCAACAAAGGTAACCCATGCTTTACAAAACCTATTTTCTTACTTATATGATGATTTCTTGGCTTCTACATGTGATTCTTGTGATGATTTGTGAGATTTAATGCATTGTATTGTAGTGATGCATGTTTAGAGCTTGTTCTTAGGGTTCTTGAATGCCATTACTTGGCTATTTCTTGGGTTCAAGTCATATTATCGTTTTGTGTGAGATTTTGGGTGTTTTGGACTTGAATTTGGACTTGTTGTTGAAAATCCCCGAAGGGATTATTGTGTACAGGGTGTGGTACCCGCGGGCGGAAAGACAGGCAGAGGCTTACCCGCCGCCCCACCCGTGGGGAACGAAGGCTCGTGGGTATGTACCCGCGGGTGGAACCACGGGCGGAGGTTCAACCATGGCCCCACCCGCGGGGAACGTTGTGGATTGTGGCGGGGATTTGTTCCCCGTGATTCTTTTGACTCGGTATTGATGTTTTGACCTCTCGATGTTTTATTGGGCTATTTGTGAGTCTTCTTGATGTTTCGTATGTCAATAATGGTATGTTAGGAATCCATGTAGGATTTGGTGTCTTGAATCGTGCTAAGGGTCCAACTTTGTGATTCGTTGGGCTAATGTGAGTCTTGGATGTTCTTTGGAACTACTTTTGGTTTACCCGTTTGCTAAGCATGCTAGTTTGATGTTGAAATGCTAGTGTGTGCGATTTGTTCTTTCCTATTGAGATTGGCAACTTGTGTTGACCATCGTTTGGTGTCGGATTGTGATCCTTCGTTGTTGAGTATGGTTTCATATCTTTGTTGTGATCCATTGAGTGATTCCTATGATGTGAACATATGTAATCGTTGTACCCTTTGATTGATGGTTGATTAAGGTTATTGTTGAATCTTAGTCTTCTTGGTAATGATGATGACTTGTGTGATTATGATTGAAATTGGTGGTGTGTTACTTGAGCAAAGGCTCATATGTTGGAGGTTGTGTGATTGAAATTAATGGTACCCTCGTGTACTGAGAGTTCGACGGTGAATAGGACATGTTGGAGGGGGGACGACGGTCCTCGGAGGCATACGATTGGACTCAGAAGTACAGGGTGGCACTAGGAGGTAATGGTTGGAACTGAAATAAGGCCCGGGGTAGCCATAAGGTTGGAACATGGCATAAGGTTGTAACTATGATACTTGTGACATGTAGTTGTCACTATGGCATGTAGTTTCCAATGTGTGAATGTGTGTTCTTTGCTAATGAGCATGTCTTGATGTATTCTACTTTGTGATTAGTAGAGTGCATCTCGAGTTGTATTGTCTTCCATGACTCTTGTCTTGTTAATGTCGTAAGGATGTTGATTTCCTTTTCCTTTTGAGAGTGTGAATGAGTCCTTGAAGTTGACTTCTCTCTTGGCTTTTGAAATGATATATACTGTATTCCGTTTCAAAAATGGTTTTGACTTATACTTATCCGTATATGTTATTAAAAGCGTATTGATGGGTACGAGTGTCATCCCCATGTTATGTTTTCCTTGTTCTACAGGTTTTGAGTAGAAACCCGAGAGCGCTAGACTTGGAGCGATAGATAGCCTAGTCACCTTGTTTAGTCACTTGGTTTTGTTGGCCTGTGAGCCTGTTTTAGCGGCCTGTGTGCCAAGATACTCTTTATACTCTGTTGAATGGTTTAGTTTTTCCCGCCTATGCATCTTTAGTATTTAAGATTTGGCATAATACTCCCGATTAGACTTGCTTCCGCTTTGTGTTTAATGGTTATCTAGATTGTTTATCTCTTGCACTTAAGTTTTAAAAATATTGTAAAATTGGGGGTGTTACAGTTGGTATCAGAGCCTAGGTTTGAGCCTAGGATGTTAGGATTTGGAATTTAAGGAGTTGTGTGGTTTGAGACCATAAGATGGCCTTTAAGTACCTAAGTGTTTAGGACTTAGGACTTCTAGGACGCGTGCTGAGCTGTGTGTTGTTTACTATTTGTTCTGTTTGCTTTGTTGATTTTGCTTAGCTTAGCGTTCCTGTAGTTAGCGCCAGGTAAGGGTGCGTTGTTTGTTTGTGCCTACTGTAACCCTGTTGTTTCTGTATAAGTTTCTTCATGGCCTCGCCTCACCATCGCGCCCGTACGCCCGAGATGCCGGCCAACGAGCAGTTGGCTCAGAACTTGCAACATCTGACGGAAACGATGCAGGCCTTGAGTGAAGCCCTTCTACACAACAACCATTCTGCTCCTCCGCCGCAGCCTGCCGGGAATCGGGATGTGGGGCATTTAGTCTCGGGATATAGGCCACCAGTGTTCGCCGGAGAGGAGGATCCAGTGATACTCGAGGAGTGGATCCGTTCCCTTGATAAGATCTTCACCGTTTTGGGCTGCCCCGAAGATCGCAGAGTGCAGCTGGCCTCTTTATACTTCAGTCACGAGGATGATCTCTGGTGGGTACACGAGGGCCCCGCGTATCAAGAAGAGCCCGACTTCGACTGGTCAGCCTTGAAGGACAGGATGAGGGAGAGGTTTTATCCATCGCACATCCGAGCCGCCATGTACGAGGAGTTCTTACATCTCCAGCAGGGCTCGTCATCTGTGGTGGAATACCACAAGCGCTTCTTGGAGCTTGCCTGTTTTGCTAGGATGTTGGTCCCCATCGAGCTAGAAAATGTGGAGAAGTTCGTGGCAGGCCTCAACTATGAAGCCCAGAAGGTGTTAACTGTGAGCAAGCCTAGATCTCTGAAGGAGGCTTATGTAACACCCCGTGTTACGATCCCTAAAACCAATTAAATCATTTAATTAATCACCTAAGAGAAAGAATTAAATCACAACAATTAATTAGGGAGGCCCACCATAGTCCATGGGCCCTTATCCCTAAACCCAATCCTTAGTCCTAGAAGGAATTGAGTTAGCAGACCTATAGTAATTAGACCCTAAGTAAGACTCTTAGATATATAAATAGGGAACATAAAGAGGCACCTAGAACTCCCACCACAATAATCTCTCACCACACCAAGAATTCCAAGAATTCCCTAGGAGAAATCAAGAAACGAGAAAGCTTAAAGAAAGACCCTTCATAGCCAAGGAATCAATTAAGGCTAAGAGGTAACCCATGTCTCAACAAAACCTATTTTCATAGCTATGATTCCCCTCTTAGGATTTCCCCATATTATTGTGTATTGATGATTTGTGATATTATTATTGATGATTGGTGGGATGATTCCATGGGTGATCTTAATGATGAAAGGTTCTTGATAATTATGACGTTCTTGATGATTATATGACGTTCTTGATAATTATATGGTGTTCTTGATGTTCTTAATGATTATATGAGGTTCTTGATATTTATAAGATATTCCTACCGAATCTTGATTTTGGAAAATGAATTGTGTTCTTGTTGATTTAAAAATAATTAGAACCCTAGGTATATCGTGGAATTCGTATGGTATTATTCTTGGTATATTGGGTGGGAATTCGCATGATTGGGTGTTGATTATGTTTAGAAAAGCATGATAGGTTATGTGCCATATGTTTCTTGATTTTGATCCGTTAATTGTCCACGTGTGTTATCAATTGCGTTTGAAAGTGTCTAAGCATGGTTTCGGGTTCCACAAAGGTTCCCGGAGCGTTTTTGGTGAAAAAGAGTCAGTGGGTGGTAGGGGACCCGCCACCTACCCGCGGCCTATTTGGGCAAACGCCGGCTGCGGGCAGCTGCCCGCCGGGCACCCGCTGCCCGGAACAGTGCCGCCGGCGGGTGACCCCTCACCCACCGGCTACCCGCTGGTTTGTACCCAATTTCTGATTTTGGCTTCCCCGTTTGATGTTCCCCCGATCCTCGTGGTGTCCCAACGGACTCCGTCTATCGTGCCTATGTCTAGTTTGATATTTTGGGTACCGTTTGTAGGTTTTATGAGTCTTATATATTGCATGCTAGTTGAATTGGTATCCCGTTGACCTAGGTGAAAGAAGTATGAACCCCTTAGGATTATTCTTAGTATGTGAAGGATCACGCATAGGTTTTGTTATACGTTTTCTCCCCCTTCCCAATGTGTTAATGTGGGTTGCATGTGCTTGCTATGTGTTATGTGTGCATGATACCCCAATTCGGTTGCGATCGGATTGGTCATTCCTGAGCTGCGGTTCAGAAGCTGGTTGCGGTCAGATTTACACTCTTGGGCTGCGGTCCACCGTTTGGTTGCGATCAAACGTTTCTACATGAGCTACGGTTCATATTTCCTGGCTACGGTCAGATGACATACTCTTGGGCTGCGGTCCACTGTTTGGTTGCGATCAAACTATGATGAGTTGCGGTTCATCGATCGGTTGCGATCGACCCCTCCGTGTTGCGATACGGGGCAGGGTGCTGCGGGGCCGTGTCAGAGCTATATGCGCTGACCCTCATGTATGGGTATGCGATTGGTCCTGTGGCGCCAACAAAGTGTGCTATGTGATGAGATACGGATGAGTTGTTGTTATGAGTACCTTGGGGATGTGACTATGGGTTTTATACTGGGAATCGTATATGTTGGATTATGATTATTAATTGTGCTTATCTTACCTGTCTTGCCTGTTGTAAACTGTATATGCTTGGTATAACTGCTGTCTGTGCTTAGCCCTATCTGTTGAGTCGATCCCTGTTTTAAAAGCTAGAGTCTCGTAGGATATATCGTCATGCTTAAAATTGGTTTTCGTATATCGATATATATGTCTATATGTATTGTATTTCAACGCGTTGGAGTGGGTTACCAGCATCTCTCGCTGAACAGATATATTTGGCTTTCAGGCACAAACGAGTAGAGCACTGGAGCGCGTTAGAAGCTTGAGGCGTAGCTTAGATAGTTTTCCCTTTTCGGCCTGCGTGCCATGATTTAGTATTGATACGGATTGAGGTTTTAGAATTTAGCCTGTGCACCTGAGTTCTCTAGCTCGGGTGTGGCATAGCACCCCGTACTATTTGTATCGTAATTTGGGATTTAATGAGATTCTATCTTTATTATATAAGTTTTAAAAGTCTTAAAAATCTGGGGTGTTACAGTTGGTATCAGAGCCTAAGTTTGACCCTAGGATAAGGCTATTAATACAGACCTTAGGACATAGACTTGAACTTTAGGTACTTAGGGACATAGGATTCGGAAATCTTAGGACGCACAGTGAGATTGTGAGACCTACACATAACCTCCCCTCACTTTATTCCCCCCTATCTAAAGACAACTTTTTCCCCTGCTTATCACATCGAAAGAAGAGCACCGAGCGCTAACCTAACGTTCTTATAAACATTGGCCCAGAAAGACGACAGCATGGCGCCAAACAGAAGACAATCAAGGACTCCAGAACCCGCCACACACGACCCCCTGACCCAAACACTCCAATAACTAACGCAAGTCGCCCAGACACTAAGCGACGTAGCTCTTCGCAAAAACAGGCCCGCGCCTCCTCCATCAAACACGAACTCAGACGTCGCCCGACAAGTTTCAAATCATCGACCACCCACGTTCTCAGGAGAAGAGGACCCCGTAATCCTGGAGGAATGGATCCGGACACTCGACAAAATTCTCGGGTTAGTGGAATGCCCAGAGGAACGTCGCGTGGAGATAGCCTCGTTCTACTTCGGACACGAGGCCGATCTTTGGTGGATCCACGAGGGTCCCGCTTACTAACAAGAACCAGGGCTCAACTGGGAAAACCTCAAAACACGACTACGAGAACGATTCTACCCAACACACGTAAAAGCATCCATGTACGAAGAGTTCCTCCACCTAAAACAAGGGACAACCACTGTCATGGAATACCACAAGCGATTCCTCGAACTCGCACGCTTCGCACCAGAGCTAGTCCCCACCGAAGTAACCAAAATAGAAAGATTCGTCTCGGGCCTCAACTTCGAAGCCCGAAAAGCACTAGTGGTAAGCAGACCTCGGACACTCAACGAGGCTTACTCCAGTGCTGCCAATCTCTATCGAATCCAACTACTCCAGCTCGGGGTTCAGGAACAGATATGAAAGAGGAACACCGGAGGGGGAGCACCACCGGTAAAAAGAACAACGAACAACACCAACACAAGACCAAGCAACCTGACCAACCAAAGACCGTCCCTAGGGAACAATGAAGCAAACCCAAGAAGCTTCCCTTGCCCAAAATGCAACAAAAGCCATAGAGGGAAAGATTGCATGGGCAATCCCTGGCGATGCTTCAACTGCGGAGAAGAAGGGCACAAAGCCTTCCAGTGCACTCAACCCCAAAGGCCACGCCCCACCACCACAGGTCAACACGGAGGCACCACCCACCAAGGGAACTACGGTGCTCTCGGGAAAATATTCGTCATGAGCCGCACTCAAGCCGATCTCAGGAACGAGAGTAACCCCGAGGAGGGGAACCTAACCCCAGAAGACGAGGACCACACAGACCCCGCGGGGGAAAATCAAGAAGACAAATTTTGTCTAGGATAAACCAGCAATTCCTTGTAATCGCTTTCATAGTAAAGCTACTTAGTTAGCAATTACTTCGGAATTATTATAAATAAAAGATTAGATCGAAATTCGATCCTACTTACATGAAACCAAAAATTATACAACAAACCAAGCCTCACATCACTAGAAGACGAAAGAGGGAAAAAGACAAGAGCCACACCACCAAGAAAAGCCTAGTGTTGCCAATAAGAATGGAACCTTGGACATCTCACTTACAAAACTAAGGCCTTAACCACTAGGCTATGAGTGTTTCTTAAAACCTCAAGGGAACACTCCCACCTTAAACCCCCACAAGTCCCTAAACCCACAAAAATCCCCAAATAAAAAACCCTTTTCTTATTCCTTTCCCCCCACTTTCTCTCATTCACCCTTTCCACAAACACACCGCCGCCCTCCCTTGACGTCGGAAACCCGAGACCGCCGCCACCAGCGACCAAGCCACGACCGGCCGCCCAGGTCGTGCCCGCCGCTGCCGCCGGAGGAAACCGCGATGCCAACCACCGCCCGTCGCCCACCTGGGTGCTACCCGCTGCCGCACACCACCCAACGCCGTCACCCCCCCCACCGAGCCGTCACCTGAACTCAGCTCGCCGTCACTGCCCTCGCCAACGGGGAAAACCGCTCGCCGAAAAATCACGCCGGAGACCCGCTGGAAAAAAGTCGCCGGAAAAAGTGTCAACCATCAAAATGCCGAAGAAACCCCTCGGAACCCGTACCCCGGAATGGAGCAAAGCCGGCTACACCGTGATAGGAGGTAAAGCCCTGGAACCCGACCAATTCTCTCCGGAATTGGTTGATATGCTTAACCACCAAGGGCTTTTGGATACGTATCTCACCATCAAGGGGGATACCTACCCCGAATTGGTGAAGGAATTCTATCAACATCTAGTGGCCACAAAACGGGGTGATAAGCTAGAAATCACCACCAAGGTCCGTGACAAGGAAATAATACACTCCGAAGGCCGCTTGGCCAAGCTCTTGAAATTGACCACCACGGGTGTGTCAAACTACGACCGAAAGGGGTGGATTGATACCCAAAATACGGGGTACAAGGACTACCTCGGGTACCTACTCAGGAAGGAGGAAGGATTCACCTCGACCACACGACCTAATAGAAAGTGGCTATCGGCGGAGCAAAAGATATTGGTTATGATTGTGACCGATAGCCTCTTGCCCACGAACAATAAGAGCAAGGACGTGGGGAGTTTAGAGTGCACCTTTGCCTAGTTCTTGAAACACAAAATCAAGTTCAACCTGCCGGCCCTCATGCTAAAACACATGGAGTTT